TAATAAAATAAATAAAGCTAGCAACATATTTTCATTGCAACCCCATGAGTGCACAGATATTGGCAACTCAGCAGTACTTTTAGGAAATGTGTGATGAGCTTGATGATAGAAAAATTCTTTCAGCTTTATTTTTGACAAACATTAAGTTCTGAACTGTTTAAAACGATAAAGGGTTAAACTTTTACTTTTTATGAAGCCAGGAGTAACAACAGGAAAATTTCCGAGATTAAGGAACTTGTGCCAGAATGTTAATCAACATTCCATTACTGAAAAATACCAGCCAAACTACTGTGCATAGTAGAAATTATAAATTACATAAAGACTAAGGCTAATGCCCTCAATTCAATAATTATTTTCTTCATTGTGTGATATGTAAATGGATCATAAACAACTGTTATTACTTGCTGAGATATGATATAAGATTAAAGGGAAAAATTCTGTGGAGAATTCTGAACTACAAAATGAATGCTCACTGTTTCTGCAACTTTTTAACCTACAAAAAGTGAACAATTTCAAGTATTACCACATTAACTTTAGATTAAAATCTTTAATGTTAATATCTATAAAAGAATCTGCTAAGATATAGGACATATTCACTGAATAAGCTCTCTTTTCATACAAAAAACATTGCAGCAGTGCCTAAGCAAAGGACTGGAGAAAAATGCTTCTGGGTATAGTACAGCTGATTTTAATTTGAAGTGCACATACCCGAATTTAGTTAACATTCTTAAAAGGGTAAACAGATACTAAAAGCAAAAAAATGCTGTAAGATTCAAGAAACTATTCTCTAAAAGAGGGTGAGAGGGGGCAAGAAGGGGTTGTAGCCAGGAGTGTATCTTCCTACTTCCAGGAAACCAAAGACTTTTATCCGACTGAAACACTTCAAAGTGACAACTGAGAATCTTGAAAATGGGGAATTGAAGATTGAAAAAAACAAGAATAAACAAATCCAATTCATCAACTGGTCCCACAGACTGTTTTGGCACTGACAAAATCCAACTGGTTACTGACCCTTGTGGGCATCTTCTTTCAGGCAGTCAGGTAGATGCTCCAACTAGTATCAAAGAAGTGATTTTATGACACAGCAGACTTTTTGTGGTCTCTTATATAAATGTGCTTCTTATAATGTAAGTCTACAAGCTTTAGAGAGGAATGGTTTGAGATGAGTGAATTTCTTATTTTATTACCATACTATATTAAGAAGTACTTTTCATCTAGAGACATTGTATAAATGTTAAAAGATTAGCTGGTGTCCAACTGATGTAGCTCAATGAATGACCATAGACCTATTAACCAGGAGATCACAGTTCAATTCCCAGTCACGGCACATGCCTGGGTTGTGGGGCTTTGATCCCCAGTAGGGGGTATGCAGGAGGCAGCCAATCGATGATTCTCTCTCATCATTGATGGTTTTTTTCTCTCTCTCTCTGTCTCTCTCCCCCTCACCCTTCTTCTCTGAAATCAATTTTTTAAAAAATTTTAAATATTAGCTAGTAATTAATACACAACATTTTTGTCACAAAATGGAAGCTTTTTAAAGTAAGAGTAATAATAATATAGTTACCATATATTGCATATCATTATGTGCCAAGCCCTCTATATACATTACCTCATTTAATTCCTCTCAAAATTCCTGTGTGAAGAATATCACTGCCTCCATTTCATAGATGAGAAAAGTGAGGCTCAGTAAGTGTAAGGTCAGGAAAAACTAGCTCTACTCAACCATAAAACTCCAAATATCCTTTTCTTTTCCTTTGGATTTTTTAGTGTTATTTTGTTAACATGAGAAAAAATGTAAGAGAAGAAGACAATAGGGTTATCAACATAAGTCCGTTAGCTTTACTCTTCTGCCATCCTGAACATTTACAATGTCAGTTATCATTTACTGAAGTACCACTCTAGAAAATTTTACTTACTTTATTCATAGTCCTCACAACAATCCTACCGAGTATTACTAGTCTTATATATAATAAAAAGTCCAGTAAGGTCACATAGTTAGTAAATGGCAATTCAAACACAATGGCAAGGTTTTCAAAAGCTCATCTTTGATCTCTTAAATTAGAACCTTGATGAGAGTAAGAATGAAATTGATCAGAGCAAGTAACTACTCAGCAAAAGCAAGCTATGATGAAGCCCCAGTGATGTTGGCTTTGTGCCATTATCTTTATGTTTAAAAACTACAAGATAGTTCCTGGCTTCTTTTGCACCAGGAACTAGAACATTTTCTTAAAGAAATATTCAAATAAAACAGCACCAACAAGTAAAACCTGATACAGATATTTTTTGAGAATGCCTACTGGTATAGGCCAAACATTATTGTTAAGTGTTACAGATAAATGTTAAATGTTACAGATAAAGAATTCCTGCCCTCTAGGAAATCATGGTCCAGTGATGAAGGCAGAAAAGCACAATGGCAATTTCAAAACAGTATAACAACTAATACTACAGAAGTAAGCACAGGTTCTATGGAAGCACAATAGATGGCCAATTGACCCAGTCTTGGAAAATCTGCAAGGATCCCCAAAGGAATTAATATCTAAACTGAAGAACAAATTGGAATTAGCACTGTCAGTAGTACAAAGAGCAAAAGAAGTTTCAAATAATTAATTCAATTTTCAACTTTCAAGACCAAATAAGTGTGTTCCTGGATGACTATACCATTTACTCATTTACATTCTAAAACAAAACAAAAAAAGTCTTTAAAAAATGCACAAAAATACCAAGACATGAAAAGAACATGAAGAGTATATTAAAAATTAGTTGGTAGGACAGTTTTATGAGCAAGTGCTAGTAAATCTTAAAGAACAGATCATTCCTTTATTATCTAAACTGCGGTAGGACATAAAAAACAATAAAAAGCTTCCTTTTGCCCTGGCTGGTTTGGCTCACTGGATGGAGCGTCGACCTGGGGACTGAAGGGTCCCAGGTTCGATTCCGGTCAAGGGCATGTGCCTTGGTTGCAGGCACATCCCCAGTGGGGGGTGTGCAGGGGGCAGCTGATCGGTGCTTCTCTCTCATCGATGTTTCTAACTCTCTATCCCCCTCCCTTCCTCTCTGTAAAAAATCAATAAAATATATTTTAAAAAAAAAAAAGCTTCCTTTCTATATTATAGCAGAAATCTGAAACTAATATCTGATATAGTCAAAAAAAAAAAAAAAAAAAAAAAAGACAATTATATAAAAATCAATGCCACTAGGAATACAAATGCAAAACTCATAAATGATATGAAAAAGTAAATTCTGTATTATGTTAATGTAATACATCATGACTAAGTAAAATTTTCTCCAGAAATGCAAAAATGTTCCAACATTAGACAATGTATTAATGAACTATATATTAATTGATTAAAGGAGGAAAACTATGCCATCATCTTGCTAAATAATGAAAAGGCATTTGATTAAACATCCATTCCTAAAAATACTAATAGAAAATAAGCAATTAAAGGATATTTCTATAATAAATATAATATAGAAATAAGAAACAAATAACAAAACATCAGAATACTTCCACAATTAAATTCAAAACAAAGATGTACTCTATCACTGATAACAATTAACATTATTTTGGAGGCTATAGTCAATGCAATGAAACAAAAAAATTAGCTGTTTTAAGTACTAGAAAGGAAGAAAGAAAATGATCATTATTAGCAGATACAAGTGCCTACCTAAATAACCCAAGATAATGACTGAACAATTATTCCAAAACTATGTGACAGATCAATGGAACAAAATTTTAAAATCTAAAAAAAAAGAAATGTATAGGCAAGATTTTAATTTATAATAAAGATAAAATTTCAAATCTTTGGGAAAAGGTAGATTATAGAAAAATGTTGGCAGAAGTGCCTAACCACTAAGACTCGTTTTGCAACATATATATGTATACTGTTTAGACATAAATATAAATATGGTAGAATCGTAAGGGAAAGCATGGAAAGACAAAACAAATACAGTGGTTACCTTTACAAGGGTGAAAAGGGATGCAATTGGGGAGGGTCACACTAAATCAAGAGGGCTTCTAAGATGGTGAATACAGGTGCTCAGATTATTTTTTTAACTATGCATTTACATTTTATGCCACTCTCCTACATGTGTGACATATCTGGCAATTTTTAAAAATTTTAATGAGATAGAGCTATACATGCTGTTACAGAAAGATCTCCAAGAAATGTTAAGTGGAAAAAGCAAAACAGTCTGTGTAGCATGATTTCTATTCTATAAAAGTTTTTATTGATGGTATATGCGTGAAGTTTTTTTTTTCCTGGAAGAATACAAGAAACATACACTGACTAAGGTATACATCTTCATTTCATACCTTTCTATACTGTTTTGTTTTCAAACAGTTTTTATTCTGTTTTGATTTAGCATTATATAATTTTTTAGAAATTTTATATCTGTGTGTGGTAGAATTGATGGGTTGCTTTGTTTTCTTCTTTATACTTTTACATCTTTAAAAAATAACTATTTGACAAAACCCTAATTAAAAACTGTACTATGAGGAAATTTTAAAAATATATATCCAATAGAGTTAGGAAAAAATTCTCAATCTTTCTGATTATTAAAAATATTTAACTTTTTGATCATCAAATAGGGAAAATTTTAATAGTGATAATAGTCTTAGCAAGGGGACAAGAAATGAACGGCTGATAAGAATATAAGTAAGACTAGACTGTGAAGGTTCTGATAGAGTAAACCATATTAAAGTTCTAAACTGATCTTGTAGGTATTACAGTCACAAATTTTTAAGCAATCAAGTATAAAAATATAAAATCTGAAATCTTAAAGTTGGAGTAAGCTAAGTGAAATGTAGAGAGAAAAAGGTGAAGGCACAGAAGCAAGTTCAGAGTCTACTGCAAGAACTCAAATAACAGATGATCAAAATGAAACGGAGTAAAAATTGCAAGGTCTGGCAAGCTGGCATTAAGGTTTAGTCACAACACAAACCAGTCTTGGGTAAGAAGGCCTAGTTTGAGACCTAGAGCTTCACACTTCAAAATACTAACCTCTCCATCACTATCAGATATCACAATGAATGCATCCTCCAGTTTACGCTTCCTCCTCACATTGACAGGACTGGAAGTTTCTGCATCTTTCTTCTCCAAGTTCTGAGCTTCAGACGCTTCTTTAACTTTTTTCTTTCTCCGTGGCATCCTTCTGTCTGAAATACACGGACAAATAATTCATTCAAAGTATAAGTTTTCTAGCCCTAGCCGGTTTGGCTCAGTGGACAGAGTGTCGGCCTGTGGACTGAAGGGTCCCGGGTTCAATTCTGGTCAAGGGCACATGCCCAGGATGTGGGCTCCATCCCCAGTAGGGGGTGTGCAGAAGGCAGCTGATCAATGATTCTCTGTCATCATTGATGTTTCTATCTCTCCCTCTCCCTTCCTCTCTGAAATCAATAAAAATATATGTATTTTTAAAAGTATGTTTTCTAGATGCTATTTGTAATTTAATCATATAAAAGAAAAAGATGCTCATCTAATAGAAGTAAAACTGGGTATCTAAACTTTTCCACTCCTCTTTAATGAAATTTTAATAGGAATAATATGACAGATTATCCTAGTTCCTTAAACATTGACTTAGATCACTGGTTTTCTTGACTGCATATTATAATTTATCTAAAAAGATTTTTAATACCAATGCCTCAACCTGATAAAAATATATCTCAAAAAAACCAACAGTAATATCATACTTAAAGATAAAAGACTGAATGCTTTCTCCTTAAGATAGGAATAAGACAAGAATGTCTGTTTTCATCCTTTCTATTGAACTTTATACTGAAAATTCTAGGCAGATCAATTATTCAAGAAGAAATAAAACACACCCAAGCTGAAAAGGACATAATCTTATAATTTTTTAAAAATCCACAAAATACTATAATGAACAAGTTCAGCAAGATTATACAATACAAGGTCAATATACAAAAAACACTAGCAATGAACAATCCAAAAATGAAATTTGAAAAATTCAAGTTCTAACAGCTTATGGATAAATTTAATGAAGGAAGTAGAAGATTTGCAAATGGAAACTTTAAAATCCCTGTTGGCTTTTTTGGGGAAATAAACAAGCTGATCCTAAAATTCACACGGAAACAGAGGGTCCCAGAATAGGCAAAACAATCTTGAAAAAAGTGAAATAATTTTAAGGAATCACATCTCAATTTCAAAATTTACCACAGCCCTAGCTGGTTTGGCTCAGTGGATAGAGTGTCAGCCTATGGACTGAAGGGTCCCGGGTTCAATTCCAGTCAAGGGCACGTGCCGGGTTGTGGGCTCGATCCCCAGTAGGGGGTGTGCAGGAAGCAGCCAATCAATGACTCTCTCATTATTAACGTTTCTCTCTCTCCCTCTCTCTTTCTCTCTAAAATCAATTTTTAAAAATATTTTTTTTTTAAATCTTACCACAAAGCTAGTTAACAAGACACTAGCACACTGACACAAGGATAGACAAAAATTGATGGTACAGAACTGAGAATCCAGAAAACACCCACAGATTGTCAATTTTCAACAAGGATGCCAAAATACTTGAATGGAGAAAGTATAGTCTTTTCAACAAATGTAGATATCCACATACAAAAGAATGAAACAGGACCTCTACCTATCATATACAAAAAATTGCAAGAAATGGAATTAGGTTCTTAAGAGAAACATAGGCATAAATTTTTGAGATCTTGAATAGGAAATGGTTTGTTAACTATGACATCAAAAGCATAAGCAACAACAACAAAAATAAAGAAACTGGGCTTTGTTTAAATCAAAAACCTTGCCCGGCCAATGTGGCTCAGTAGTTGAGCGTCAACCTATGTATGAACCAGGAGGTCACAGTTCGATTCCCGGTCAGGACACATGTGCCTGGGTTGTGGGATCAATCCCCAGTATGGGGCATTCAGGAGGCAGCCAATCAATGATTCTCTCTCATCACTGATGTTTCTCTCTCTCTCCCTTCCTCTCTGAAATTAATTTAAAATATATATTTTAAAAAACAACATCCTTTGTGCTTCAAACCATTATATCAAGAAATTGAGCCCTGGCCAAGTGGTGCAGTCAAGTAGGTTGGAGCGTCATCCTGTACACCAAAAGGTTGCTAGTTTGGTTCCAGGTCAGGGCACATACCTAGGTCACGGTTCAATCCCCGGTTGGGGCCCATTTGGGATCACTGTTTCTCTCTCATATTGATGTTTTTCTCTCTCTCTCTCCACCTTCCTCTCTCTAAAATCAATAAAAGGATCCTCAGGTAAGGATTTTTTTAAATTTTTATTGTTGAGAGTATTACAAATGTCCACCTTTCTCTCCCCCCTCCACCTGGTTCCCACCCTGCCCCAGGTCTTCACCACCCTCCTGTGTCCATAGGTAAGATCTTTGGCTAATCTCCTCCCACTCCCCCACCCCCTTTCCTCTGAGATTCATGTCTGTTCCATGTTTCCATGCCTGATTCTATTTTATTCACCAGTTTATTTTGTTCATTAGATTTCTTGTTTATTTTGATTTTTAGATTCAATTGTTGATATTTACGTATTTATTGCCATTTTATTGTTCATATTTTTTATCTTTTTTCTCTACTTCTTCCTCTTCTTAAAGAATACCCTTCACTAGTTCATGTAATACTGGTTTGGTGGTGATGAACTCCTTTAGCTTATTCTTGCCTGGGAAGCTCTTTATCTGACCCCCAATTAGTGACCCCCCAATAAATGATAGCTTTGCTGGGTAATCTTGGTTGTAGGTCCTTGCTACTCATCATTTTGAATATTTTTGGCCACTCCCTTCTGGCCTGCAAAGTGTGTGTTGAGAAATCAGCTGACAATAGTAGTAGTAGCTAATTAAACTGCTTTTCTCTTGCTGCCTTTAAGATCCTCTCATCTTTAACCCTTTTGCATTTTTATTATGATGTGTCTTGGTGTGGGCCTCTTTGGTTTCATCTTGTTTGGGACTCTGTGCTTTCTGAACTTTTATGTCTACTTCCTTCACCAGGTAGAGGAACTTTTCTGTCATTATTATTATTAAACATGCTTTTATTGATTTTTATAAGCTGTTTTTATCACTATTTTACACGTTAGGAAACTTATTCAAAACCAAACAGTTGTTAACTTGGTAACTGACTATGTTGCGCATTGAAGCCCCATGTGTCTGATTCCAAACAGACCCTCTCTGATTGAATGACACAGCAATGCCTCCTCCCTGACGGGAAGAAATAAAGACGGAAGCATAACGCTCCACCTCTCCTGGGTGTCGCCGACTCCTCAGGAAGACCTGGCTACTACAGGGCACGGAGTCCAGCTGCCGGACTCCAGGCCGGCTCTCCTCTGAGCGGGGTCCCTGGCCGTCTGTAAACTGCCGGTTCCGCGAAGATGAACTAAACGCGCTTGTGGGAAAGGACCGAGGCACTGCCTGCCGCGCACAGAGAGGCAACAGTTCCGCTGCAGGGGGCCTGGTAAATGACGACAAGGGTGTCCAGGGGAAATCTTAGTTTTCCTGGCAAAATAGTGAATGCAAGGATCCCTCCCCGACAAAGCAGGAGCCCACGCGGGAGGGGCGAGAGGCGGCGGCCGTTACCCCGGCTCCGGGAGGGGCGGGACGCTGCCGCCTCC